GTGCAGCTAAAAGGGGTTACAATGGTATAGAGAGTGTACAATAGTATACAGGGTTTACAATGGTACATAGAGTGTACAAATTATTGCATACAATGATATACATATAGATTACGACATAGAAAGTGTGGAATTCATGAGTTGTTTGTGCCAAAAAACCTGAACAAGCAAGGTACGAGCAAGTGAGGACTTTTGACTCTTTTTTATGTCATGAGCTGCTTATTACACATAACACGAGAATTTTCATTGACATAGTTTTCTGAAAGATCATTACATTCAGCAAAATGCATGAAACACCACATCAACTCGGGTCTAGAAAAGGCTCGGCGACATGTAATCCAAAGACTGTCTAGGTTCCCTACAGCAGTCACTTTCTTGGTAAAGTTTCCGCACAGCCCCATACTATTGTAAAACAAATCTGTTTTCCCAATGGAAATGTATTGTTTTTTCATTGTTTTCTCTAGTCAAGAACTGAATGCATAATGTGGTATGGGGCTGTGCGGAAATTTTACCACTTTCTTTACCAAAAGTCGACACAGAATCGTCTTTGGGAAGAGATTGCTCTAAAACAAAATAACTGAATTCTGTTTTCGTGGCGAAGACTCTCGCCATGTTTGAACTTCGCTTTCTTTTCGCGAAAGAATATCAGAAAAGGCGACGGACGGCGACGAAAAGTCCAGGTTCAAACCATTCTTCACTCTAAGCCATTCCCTTCAATTGTAGAATTCTCGTAGCTTGTTAAAGGATCACAAAAAATCTTAACGGACCGTGCGCTACTTGATTGCTGAAATTTTAATATTTTTCGATTCAGTGGACCGTGGAATTAACACGGAAAAAAACGTGTCGAGAAAAAATAAAATATTGTCTACGACAAGTAGAAAAGTATACGAAAAATGAATGTGTAAGGCATTTTTTGACAAAATACCCAAATATCCTCTGGTGTATAAATCAAATTCAAGCTGAAAAAGTTTCCAATGAATAATGTATATGTAAACAGCCAACTCGCGCCCGTTTCGCTTCGAACAGACCGCCATCAAACATCACTTGTTTCCTGAATACGTCGAGGGAACACAATTCTTCGGCAAAATTAAGTTTCAAAAGACCCTGAAGATAAATTTTGAAAAAAACTCGATCGGAAATCAAAACTCGACGACAGAATTCCACTGTCATAGAAAGCTTTGATACAAGCATGTTTAGGTTCCTCCATGCGTGTGGATCAGTTCATGTACCTGTAATCTACGATAAAACAACCAGACTATCAAAGTGTACAGCACTTACCTCCTATATTTTTGTTACCGTTGAAGATTAAAAGGGAAAGAAAAAGAAGGAGGAGTCACTACATCACGGGCGATGATTGGGGGAAGAAGAAAGATCAAAATACGAGTGGTCAGCGATCAAACAAATTTAATACTTCATATAGAGACATATCAGTTATAGTTGCGGAAAACAATAGCGTTGTAATGCCGAAATATCAACAGTATACTTCGCTGAATAAAATGCTAAGCAATTTTTCAAAAGTTTTTATGGCACATATATCTTTTACAGCTGTAATAAACAATGGAGGCATCGGTGGCATCCGGAACGGCACCAAGAAGAATGATATTTAGACTAGACTTGACCTGGCCGCTAGGGCCTAGGAACTATCATAACCGCTGACCGGCTCGAGGGAGTTAGTCATTTTGTGTTTACGTTCTTGTTACGTTCGAGGAAATGTGTATTTCTCTATCTACGTTGGATCGGAACTCTACTTACCGCTTTATTATTGTAAGTTAGCCATCCTACATCGCATACCATCTCTAGGAATATGCATCGTTTTTATTGTGAGCTTATAAGGACTGTATTTTAGTATAGTTCGGTTGTTATTTGTATCGTAGGACTCCTTCATCGTTGTACGATAATTAAAACCGTGTCAAGCAACGAGGAGTGTATAATTATATAAATTCAACCCACCATATTCAAACATTCGAAGATATCCAACAGACCATTATTTCGAGAACTTCTGTTCTGTATGCACAGAATTCTGGGCAATTTACTAAATTAGCATGAGTTATGCAAAGAGAAGCGCAGGATATTTTCACTTTCTTTCTTCAACGAGTGAATTGGTCAAAGGTTTTCGTCAGAAATTTCAAAAGAAACGCATCCAAGTTTGATTTTCATGTGAATTTTACTCTTTCGTTTGGCCTTAAAACGCATTTAACTTTAAATGTGACAAATCAAGACAAGTCTTTATCATCTTGTCGTCGACCCAATACAGCGCTACTTTGATGAAAGCAAGAGATCCATCAGGCACCGCCTCTTTTTTTTTTTTTTAAAGATTTGCTCGAATGAATATTCGTGTGAGAAAATCGCAATTTTGTTTTTTAGACCGTAATATGACGGAGTTTCTTCAAACACGACACCGGCGGCCATCTCAAAACTGGCCGCTATGATCGAAAAACCCTGGGCACGAGGTGACAGTGAGACGAAAAGACTCTGGGCTCGATATTAATCCCATGATGTCTTTCAAGTAAGATGAAAGAAGAGTTTCCGGTGTGAGCAGGATTGTGATATTATTCAACGGATATGACTCGAATTTAATCGTAAAGTATTATTTAAATGTCCAAAGAAGGTTACGGAGAGTCTTTATCATTGGAAGAGGACGAAAAAGATTCCAAGGTAAATGGAAATCACAGCTGTTCAACAGCTTACGCACGCTATTCGCGACACTTTCGTACTGGTTCTCGAACTGTGCTGGACTGTGTACTTTGTCCTTTGTTATCATTTGATCTTGTGACCAGGGAGAGTTGACTTAATGTTTCTCTTATCACTGCGAATCGTTAATTTTTACTAAAGTATCAATTTACATTATGTTCAGGTCATAACAAAGGAAGATGTTCGGCTGTCAAGACTTATAAAGCCATCGCCACTACAGAAAAGGCTAGGTAAGAAGTATCTCGTGGAATATTGACTGATAAGCACACAGAATCCTCACAGCAATGATAATTTATCGCCTGTTGCCTTTGTGAATGTAGAGGTACCCTATGTTTCCTATCAACTATTCACACCTCTCTATTTAGCTTGTTTATTTCTTTCCCATTTGGTTAGTCCTACTTGGTTTTCCTTTGTTTAGCTTTCCTCTCTCACCTGTTGGTTAAGTGATAAGATGAGATTGAAGTTGCATCTACCCATTGAAATATTCAAATGATGCCCCTTCTGAAATACATTTTAGCTGTTAGTGGCTTCTCCCCATCCTTTCACATACATGTAGAAAGACTTGCCCACAATGAACATGTAGACGCTGTCTAATTCTTAAACTTTTTTTTTTCATGACGTTAATAAACTGTTTATCCTTTACAGAAGAACAGCTTCAAAAGTCACGTAAGGCACTAAATGGTTCTAATGGGACGCTCCTAAAAAATGGGTAATACAGTTTCACTAAATAGTATTTTATTATTCTATTTCCTGGAAAACTTAAAACAACAACTAAATAAATAAATAAAAAATTGACAAATATAATATGAATAATGATGATCATACCCTAACACTAAATTGAAGTATGCATTTTGTCATCTCAGGAAACCCTTGCTAAAAAATGGTTCTTTAAAGAATAATATGAAGTCTGATGAAAGACCATTATTCCAAGCAGAATCTGACAGGTTAGACAAAAATTTGAATACTTCAAAATGTGAAAGTGAAAAGTGAGTAGTTGTCCCAGATATCATGTTTTTAGTTATAGCCAACTTTCTGCAACAGAATCCTCACTTTGGTCCCCTAAGTGGCTTCTGTAGAGGTTTTATTATAATCATTTCATTACAAAATATTGTTTTCACTGAAAGAGTTGCAAATCGAGTTCTTTGGTTTGGTAGCATATCACACTGTAGCCTACATATGATGCAATGTTCAAATCCCCTCTAACAATGGAACAAGAGTCTTATCCACCAGTTGAAGTGAGGTTAGGTAAAGCTATTGAGGTTAAGTCAGGAAATCTCCTTGATTATGTATCTCTCAATAACTGGACCAGGTAGTCTTTGACTTTAATAGTACAAGTTTGTGCATTGTAGAATTTTTCATTTGTACATTTACATCAAGCTGTTTGAATCAATTATATTTTTCCCTTGACAGTGATGAAGAAATAACTATGACTCAATATAGTAAGGCACCAAATGTATCTGTGACCCAAAACTCTAAGGTAGGATTTTTCTTCAAGTAGATATTGCTCTGAAATGATTTAAAATGCTTGCCAAGTCAGCAAGTGTAATGGCAGTAACAACCCATAATTCCATAATTAACACTCAACAAGCAGTTAGAAAGGCACACATGGGGGAATCTCAAATCTAAATTTGCTTGAATTCTGCCATAAATTCCTATGGGAAATTTATGAAAAGGGGGAAGGAAGGGTCTGTATTAGAGCTGGTAGAATTTTAAATAGACGTTAGGTTATAGGTGATGTATGAGATTTTCAGCAGTTGTGCTGGTCACTTTTTACATACCATAGTTCTCTATTGTCCTCTGTGGGAAAGTATAAATTTCCCAAAGAGAGGAGTTTTTCATGTAGAACTTTGCATTTTTTTTTTTTTTTTTTTTTTTTAGGAAGGAGGAATAGTAGGAATAATACTATGTGAGGCTGAGTTTTAAATTTTAAATTTTTGGAAAAGACAATCATATGATAGAAAACCGTTCTCTTCTACATAAAATAAATCTGAAATGTGGCTAATGCCAGTTGATTGCCTTTGGATAATACAATATATCAATTTTTTATCAGCAATTAAAAAAAATAACTGTTTTAGTATAATCTGAAACAACTGTTCACCAAAAGGGATGTGGCGAGAGGTGGATATTTACCTCGCAGCTTAGTAAATATCCATTACTAGCCTCACCCACTTTGATGAGTAGTTGTTTTTTATGCTGAGGATTGCCTGTTTGCTTTAGAATCTTTCAGATTGTACCCAACAATTACTAAAGGATGGTTACAGGTTGGTTTCACCATTTTCAAACATTTTTACAAATGGTTAATGAGTGTTGTTTGCTTGAATTACCGTCAAGTCACCAATGCCAACTTGCAGACGTATAAAATCAAGTAGAGACATTGGCAAGTTGGTCTTCAATCCAGTACAACTTATTAGAAGTTAAACATATAGAAAAGTAAAAGATCTTTGGTAAAAAAACATTTTTTTTCTTCCAACAAAGTTTATATAGATCTCATGGTGAATAAAGCAAGGTAAACATTACCAATGACTATAAAAGCTTCAGATGCAAATGAGTTGTAACTCGTTTGCCCCTAAAGCTTTTTTGGTCATTGGCGATGTGCCCCCTGCTTTATTCACCTTGAGATCCTTATAAACTTTGTTGGAAATATTAAGAATTGTTTTTACTAAAGATCTTATCTAGAAAGCTAAGTATTTTTAAAAAATCTGACCAATTGACATGATGAGTCTTTACAGTGTTGTTGTCACACAATAACTTGTTCGCGTCCAAAGCTTTTTTGGTCATTGGCAATGTTTGCCTTGCTTTACTCGCCTTGAGATCCTCATAAACTTTGTTGGAAATAAAAAGAATTGTTTTTTACTAAAGATCTTGTCTAGAAAGCCAAGTTTTCTTTAAAAAAATCTGACCGATTGACATGGTGAGTCTTTACAGTGTTGTTGTCACAATAACTGTGTGACAACCATAGTGACCATGCGGATCCACATGATTTCTTAACTTTAAAGAATGATTTATTCATCATCGTGAATGTTTGATTTATGAAATAATTTGATTTATTATTTTTTTTAGAGGGCACGGTAACGAATCTTGCAATCTGATTGGTTCTTTACCCGGTCAGTATTTTCCTATCTCTGCCCACGGGCCACGGTAACGCTTTCGTGAGTCGCCGAGTACATCCCAACTTTCGTTGTCATTTTTCATAAATATACCTCGTTTTCCGGCTGGGCAGCATTTTTAAGCAAACACATTGGTCACTACCTCAAGCCGATAAATAACTTATGAATCCTCTCTTTTCTCTCTATCAAATCACTTTGGTTGACAGAAAAATATTGGTTTCAGAATGAATTTGTATAAACAACAGTGTCATTACGTTGGTTGACAAGCGGCCTAAAAACTGTCTGCAATTAATTTTAATCGTTCACAAAAAGTACCCAGAAAGTTGAAACGTGAGGTATTTGGTTACAGTTAAACTGAACGACGGAACTTTCATTCATTTAATATCTGAATTTTCTCGAGCAATTTGTTCATAGTGAAAGAGCGAGCAAAGTTTTAATTTAAGTTCTACAACAAATATACGCTCCTGGTGAGTCCGTTGAATTCCGTTCAATTTGGACATTTGTACCTTAAATTGCACAACAGAAATTGAAGGAATTTTTTGAGAAAAGGCCGCATTACATTCCCTTGTGTCTCGTTGGAGTGTGCCGTTCGAATTTAGTTTTTGTGAAGGAAAGATCAGAGTTAAACACGCCATTACAGCAAACAAACGAGCAAACTCTCACAACTTCAAAATAAAAAAATTGAATTTACTCACAATTACTTTCCTCGCCGTTTACTTAATGAACAGAGGTAAATCTTCGTACATGAATGAATGGTCGATGAGAGTGAATAATACTTTCCGTTAGATCATTAACTGATTTTGAAGAAAACATTGTCGTGACAGTCCTTGCCAAACTAAGTTCTGTTGGTTTTCAAATGTTCCTACGCTTTTTTTTTTCTTGCGCGCTCTCTAATTGACAGGTGTCAGATTGTGACAGATACTTGTAAAAATAATGTTTCAAAGTTTGTTTGGAAGCCTTTTAAATCACCTTTATCGTTACGGAAATGAAAATGTTTCGCTGAGGCATCTCTCTTAAATTTGCATCACCTCTATTTTAACTACCATTTACCCACTCAAAAATTGTTCAGTTTATGGAAGATCTTGCCGTATTTACGTCCATAAATCATTCGGGTTCTTTCGGAAAGAATTTCGTCAAGTTTAAAAACAATAAATATGTTATTTACCGGCTAAGGGTCGGTCCGTATGGTGAAAAACTGTGACCTCGGTCTTGAAAATGCCCTCGGCCTACGGCCTTGGGCAGTATTTTCAAGACCTCGGTCACAGTTTTTCACCATACGGACCTCCCAGCCGGCAAATAACATATATATATTATAAAGATCAAGTGAACATGTGAAAGCTAGGTATATCATGCAATAATTCTGCTCTTGATGGTCTGTTTAATCTAGACATCGATTTCAATAATCAGGCTGCTTTTTTTTCACAATTCTCATGTTTCTCCCAAAATCCAAACAACTTACTTTGCAATTGCCCATCAGCCCTTCTTTGGGTGCTGGTCAGCTTCTGGTTAGATACTTATCGTATTTTTATGGCCGTTCACCAGCATAGCCCGGTATTAAGATGGACCAAACATAAACACCTTCATTAGTGAGCTACCAAAGCGTGAATCTAGAATGATGCTGGTTGTGACACAATAACTCATTCGTGTATAAAGCTGTTTTGGTCATTGGCGATGTTTTTGAGATCCTTATAGACTTTGTTGGAAATAAAAAGAATTGTTTTTTAAACCAAATATTTTGTCTAGAAAGCCAGGTTTTTTTTTTTAAATCTGACCGATTGACATGATGAGTCTTTACAGTGTTGTTGTGACACAATAACTCATTTGCATCTAAAGCTTTTTTGGTCATTGGCGATGTTTACCTTGCTTTTACTTTTCTATAATGTTTAACTTCTAATAAGTTGTACTGGATTGAAGACAAACTCGCCGACATCTCTACCCAATTTTAGATGTCGGCAAGTTGGCGTTGGCGAGTTGAACCATTGCTGACTTGACTGGATACTGTTTGTTCACCACTTGGTGCATGCAGTGTTACCCTTAAATGGGCTTTTGAGTTTTTCTTTGTGTAGGAAAGTTTCCTTGAAAACTCAGGATGCTGGAAAAAAAAGAAACATTTCTTGTTGTTTCACTGTCATTGGTTATTTGGGTGATAAAAAGAAGTCAGGCACAAGATAACTGAACTACATTTTAAGCAGCTATGGTAGCTAGTTTGTAGTGTGCTCAAAGGCCCTGATCTCCATTGTCTGTGTTCACAACATACAACCGAGGGCTTAGTTGATAGTGTATTGTAATCATCTGGGTGATAGTGGTCCTGAAAAGGAGTGTTGTCAATGGCAGTGAATAAAATTCAAATAATTAAAATAGAAGTTATCAGTGAGTGACCCTTGGGCTAGTGATGTTAACCAATAATCCTAATAATAAACATTTCCTGTCTCCTCCCTTTTCAGTTTTTGTATGAGAAAATTGAACTTCCTGAAAAACTCAATCTTGAAAGGGCAGCAGAGTGTTGTGATAAATTACATGAAGTGTGAGGGATTTTTATAATAGCCTGGCAAATATTTTTGTATAAGAGAGCCTCTGTTTATTTCTCACATATTTTACAGAATATGTGCTTTTAAAAGTTGATTAATTTTAAATAACCCACTGACATAAGTGAATTCCTGTCATTGCCTCTAAGACTTGATGAAATATCAGATGAAGAGGACTTAGATCTTATACCACCACGGCCAGTTGATGACAGATGTCAGTGTTGTGGAGCAGTCACATGGCAGGGCTGCACGATTTCTTGATTAGTGACATCTTTCATAGGACCAAATCGTTTTTAAACATATGAAAAATTCAGATGTTAAATGAAAAGCCTGCAATAATTTTCTTGGAATTTACATGAAGTGGGTCACTGTTTATCTAACTTCATCCAAGAGATTCATATAGAATCATTCTTTCTTATAGATTCACATTTAATGCAAGTCTCTGTGTTGTTAGTCTGTCCTATCATACTTATCAATAAAATGAGAACCTTAAGTTAACACTGAGGTGGAACAGCTTATCTCAAAGCACTTATTTTAATAGCATTTTCCAAATATGTGCTGTACAGCATTCTAAATATAACCATTACATGTTAGGCCTTGGCATTCAAATATTGTAAGTTGTCATTTATTAAGTAATTGTTAAGTGTTACTTTCACCCTTGTTTTTGTTTTGTTTTGTGATTCTAGCAGATTGTAACTAAATGGTCAACAATAATTGACATGTTCTCCCTTTCCAAACTAAATGTTTGTTTTCCCAAGTGATTTTTTAAAGTTAAATTCTCTTAGTCTGAATATGCAAATGGAAACTTATCAATGTTTGCAAGATAACCCTATATTTGCTACAATAGTAGTTTTGTTTCCCAAATTTTTTTTCTACACCATTCAGTGTTATTTAAGGTTTCATACAGTAATGATTCCCTTGTATTTTATTGCTAATCTAATTACATTTGTCATCAAGGACATTTATTGTCAAGGGTATGAAAAATTTTATGTGTAAGGAAATAATCATACTTGAAACAGGATGAAGCACCTATTTATTTGTATGTGAAATATGGAGTTTTAAATTAACAAAATTCATATGTTCTTGGTAATGAACTTACTGCTGAAAGTAAGAATAATTTTAATCAGCATGACTCAATCATGTACCTTCACAACATTTTACTGATTTATAATGTACCTCCTACTTCCCAGTAGCATATATTCAAGTTATTAAATTAAAATATTCAGATTGCAAAAAATATAAAAATAGAGCAACCATTCAGTTTTAGAATGCATTTTATTACAATGGCAAATAAGGAATCCTAGGTAGAGTTCTCTTTTAGGAAACATTTTCCAAGTAAAGGCAAACATTTCTCATGTGGGGTTGTCTGTTGTTTTTAAAAAGAAATGATTTATTTTCATGAGTTTACTTGAGACTTTTACCAAATAGTAATGGTGATAAAAGCAATAGGAGAAAAAGAAAAACGGAAGAATGCACTTAATGTCATCTACTGGCAACTTTAGTCTCAAATTCAAGAAATTAATTCAGCTGTTACTGTGTGCAGAACTGCAACTAGCTTTGGTGAGTGACATAAGCTGTGTTCCCATCTTACAAATTTAATAATTACTCAATCAATTTAGCTTGCCCAATGCAATTAACTGGATCATTTAGTAATCTGGTTATGGAAGCCAATTTAAATGATACAATATAGTTTAAAAAGTTATTTGTAACAGGCTTAAACAAGAAATAAATAGTAATTATAGTCTGTAACTTGGCTAAAAAAATATTTCACTAACCTTGATCAGGTAAACTGTGGAAATTTGATTTATTTCACCACAGATCATTGGGCTGTCATAATACCTTGGTTGTCTTCTATCTTGATAGATTCACATCCAAACTACCCAAATGAATCTAAACAAGGGACAAATTGATGATTTATGCTCTGTGGTGAGGTTTTTTTTCAAAGTCCAGAATGCTGAACTCATGAAGAACATTGAGCTATTGGAGAGGCTCACTGACATCTTCTGCTATGCACTACTTCAAATAATGTTTTCTCTAAACAGGTTGGGCACATTTTGGGCTAAACAATTCTTTTGATACAGTTAAATTTTGAATTTTCTGTGCCAGGTCAATTACTCCCACAAATAAACCATAAAGGGTATAGGTTAAGTTGCTTTTCTGAAATCAGTGGAATTCCACAGTAGTCAAACCATTTGAATTTTCTGCTACAGGTCCAAAGGGCATCCATACTACTAATCAGAGGGTCTACAGTTAAACTCCTGATGGGTAAGATGTCCTGCTGGGAGCACTTGGAAGTATGCCCAACTGAAAGATGTCATCTTAAGGCCAAAAATGCTTTCAGCTTTATTCATGGATTAACAAATAATGCTGATTTAAATTTGATTTTCTCATTATATTAACTCAACCTGGATTAGTTTGCTCTAAAAATGAAAACATTGTCCACCATGTAGAGTAAAAATACAATAGTTATAAGAGAAAGTTTCCAGAGTACAATGTCTAGTCAATATTAGCAAGAAATGCAAAGAGTACAAATGCTTTCCTGGTCTTCGCACTGATCTTCTAAATTTGAAAAAGAAATGTAGTCTTGCTTCAATGTCACCTATGATAACCACATCACATCAATGTTGTTGTTCAGGAAAGATTAAGATTGACTCCTTTCAAAATTCATGGCCAAAGCAACATCTTCCAATGATCAGGAGTAAGCTTCCAACAAAACTGCCCTAAGCAAGGTTCAAAAGTATGGCAAAACACTGGCAAGGAGCTTCCTATTGTAGCCTCTGAAAAAAAGATTTTTCCATTTCCAACTGAATCATGAAGGGGTGCAACGAAATGTAAAATGGCAAGTACCTTTTTCTTGCAATCCACATGATTGGCTTTCCTGCAGTGAAGTGACTTTGCAACTTCCTTCCTAGTTATTTTTCTGTTTGATAGCACCAAAAATGTCTCAAGATTTTGAATTTGTCAACACCTCCAGCCTTATAGTAACTAATTTGGATGGTAACCAAGGTAATGCTAACAGAACATATTTCAATCAGGTGTCATAAATTTAAAGCCAAAGTAATCACAACAGCCAATCAGAGGAAAGGAAAATATCGCAACAAACCATTAAGAATTACAGTTAAGTGTAAGTAAACCGCTCAAAATGCAGGAAAATAGGAAGCAAAAATTGTTGAGAGGATGGCACTAGTTTTCAAGACAAATCACAGAGTGCAGAAAAGTAAAACTAATATAATCCTTGATTACTAAGGACACTCAATTGATAATTGCTCTATTCAAGTTGTAGTTGGTGAGTCAATTATCACCACAGTGGGGCCCGTTGTAAAGTGCAGATGGAAAAACCCCAATTGATACCTACCCTACATAGGTTATTAATTATCATTATTATTTATATCATTACTATTATTATGAATATTATCATGTCATAGATCAATATGCATGAATTTCATAGTCAAAATATACCATCTAAAATACATACAGATTAAACAGACTCACAGTTATGACTACGTTCAAGGTCGCTAATATAAACCTAGACTAGTTCAAGGAAAAAAAATTACGGAGGCCTATCCATCATAGACAATTGAGCGTTTTCTCTGAGCTATCAGTTTCTTTCCCTCTCTGTCGAAAATGCACTGCTTGAGCACAATCCACAACTTTTCACTCCATCGAGTTTTTCGTTAGCTGTTTTAACTAATACTGAGACCGTTTATCGTCTACAAATCGTTATCGAGTAGAACATCCGTAAAATTATCCAATATTTTCATCTTTAGACCAAACTTTTCATCCAGTGAAATCTTATAAAATACTTTCATTATTTTCCTTTCGGAAGTTTTTGTGGTGCCTCCTTCCTTTTCTGTTCTCCATGCTGAATGTTATCCACAACATTTCTTTCAGCGTAACCTCGGCCATGTTCAACTGGATTCTTATTTTGTCCCGCCTCCTTCTTCGTTTTCCCTTTGCGTGAATGACCGGTTGAATGAAGGCTGTCGTCGTAGTTGTACTCCTCAAAATCATCGTTTTGTTCCATATTCATCGAAAGCTTGTAGAAAGAAAGGACCGGCGATGGCTATTTCAATGATAAGGGAAAGTTGATTTCCCCGGAGGCTCTCTGACCTGTGTGAAAGTGATGACTTTGTTAAATTCTCACTCATTTGATTACGCTTGATGGGAACTATGGGAAAAAATTCAATATGCAAGTATTGACGTATGTATTAGCTTGCATTAGCATAACTTAGCTCAAAGTGAGGGAATCGATCTGTGGTCTTCCTCAGTCAGATACGTCATGATATGTTAACGTAATTTTGTTCACCTTCATTACTTGATATATGGTGTCATTGATTCAGAAAGGTTTTCGTCATGGCTTGCTTTCACAAGAGTAAGATCTTGGCCATTTTGTATTCTGTGGTGTGCCTAAACGAAGTGTTGTGCAGCAATGAAGTAAAAGCTGTGTCCGAAGGTTCCGTCAAGTATGAAGGAACTATAAATATTAAGATGCCAGGCACTCGTCCACTAAAGGTAACGTTCTTCTGATTTACAAGATGTGTAACTGAACTGATTTTACTTTACGTTAAATAGGTTGTAATTTTGACTTACAGCTTTTCGTTAAGCATCAGTGGCACCATCGCTACCGAGAGGATAGCCTCGTACTTTTCTCATTTCCTCTTCTTGAAACGGTATTTTGCTAAGTAATACGATGATTACTTTGTTTTGGGTTGCATTGAAAACTTAAAATTGCGTACTAATAATAAAAAAGTTTGGAAACGAAGGATCACTTTACTTTAACCTTTACTCTGTCCAGTACGTAATTTGGTATGCATGAAAGCTTGTATGTCAACTGTAAAATTATAGAACCCGGGATCAAGAATGTCCGATGTCGCTTTAAGCTTCTGAAATGTTTTATAAAACTCTATTTCACACTGAAAATGTTCCATTGCTTTTTCAGTTTTTCAATTTTCTTAAATCTTTGGAGCCCATTCTTCCGGTTTGTAGTTATTGTAATACGTTTATTTATTTGAGCTAATACGATTCATTGTCGACTACCTAGATCTGAATTTTAACGTCAACTTCTGTGAGTTCGAAAGTATGAATTAGTCAAATAGAAAGTCTAATGAAATGGAGGATTAGTCGCAACGTTTCCACTGGGGTATGCAGTTAATTTGCCAACACCAAACTCGCCACTGCTGAGAGTCAAATTGCCACTGGTGATTTCGTGAAAGTAAATTTTTGCTGTTAAATTACCTCAATGCTGTGGTAACGATCAATGAGTTAACATATAATGGTAATAGGACCGAGTGGAGTCCAATTCAGTCTGTAATCATACGAGTGATTAACAAAATTGGACGATCACAAAGAGGGAGTCTGATTTGTTAATCTTGAGTATGATTATTGACAAAATTGGACGACAAAAAGTCCTGCTACCAATTAATAAAAATTAATGACAAAATTTGAAAGAAACTACTGACATCAATTGTATATATTCATAAAATTATCAACAGTTACACTCAGCTAAATGTGAGACAACAGCGCCCGCTCATGACGCATTCTATTCTCCACTTACATAGGCATGACTAGTTAACTGTCCCTTTAACTGTCCTATTACACTGTCCAATTACAAGCATGATGCATACACTGTCCTATTAGTGCTCAAATCAGGCTGGTGACAACCAATCACCTTCAAGAATTTTGTTATAGTTTTGATTAGGGCTGAAATTGCTCGAAATGCATTTCAAATTCGCTTCAAAATACCTTCTTCAGGTTAAGTAACTTGACTGTTTTACTACAACTTAGCTTTCATTTTATGTGATAAATGGTGGCAGTTTGACTCCCAGTCACTCCTATACTGCTGGTCTTTGTTAGGCACTGAGTTTTAAGATTACATGCCGCTACATGTAGCACCTTGGTTTGATGTTTTTGGTGGGTTATAGCATCTTTTGAGTTATTGAGGCAAAGAGTATATTGAAAATGAACTGCAAAAATTTAGTTGGAGGCCCATGTCATTTCAAATGTTCATCAAATGTTTAAGGTACTAAGGGTAAAACTTTTGTACATTTGGTGGTGAAATCTGTTACAAAAGAATTCATGCTTGTGTTTTTCGGAGGACAGGTGAAGTTGTGAGAATGCAAGGTTTAGGAAAGGGATTGCAGTTCTCTCCTACAAAACTGTTATATGTTTCCTTATAAATAAGTTAAGAGACTTTCAAATTGGTGTTGTATCAAGATGTTGCTCTCTAGTTGGCCAGGTTGTCCCTTGTCATCTCCTGTTTTCTTTGCTATAGCTAGAGGTGATTCATTGATTACATGTAGAGTTGAAGGAGGGTTCTTTGGTCAATATTTGCAAGAGCTATAAAATATATGTGTCAGCAATCTCAAATCTGTTTTTTTTAACAGCCTTTATTTTTTTGTTTAGTTAATATACTGTTGTGGCACTCTTCTGTCTGATGTGACCTCTTTATGTGTTATGTTAACCAATAAAATACAGTAAACTTCCCTCTTGGGCTACCATTCTTGGTTTGGTGAAAAGTGGTAGCTGAAGCAAAAAGCTGATCAGGTCCTCCTTCCATTTATTGCATGTCTCATAAGGTAATTGAAAGAAAGTTCTACAAGAAAATGTATCTGCTAAATCAGTCGATTTACATTATACTACGTTAGAATATCCACTAGTTCATTCTTGGTTTTTGGGATCTGCAATATTGACATTGAAATGTGTTTTGTGATAAATCACATGAAACCACCTTGAAAACTCTCATTTACTCT